GGAAGGAAGGAAGGAAGGAAGGAAGGAAGGAAGGAAGGAAGGAAGGAAGGAAGGAAGGAAGAAAAGGAAGCTAGAGATGAGACAGAAATAACATTTTAAAAAATAATGTCTAGAAACTTCAATGTGATGACACAAATATAAATATTCAAGAAGCTCAGTGAATTACAAGGAGGAAAAAAAGAACCAAAGTCTCATCCCATGATATAGGATATTAAAATTTTCGAAGTCAAGGACAAAGAGAATCCCAGAAGCAGCATGAAAAGGAACTCATATACAAAGGATCCTCAACAAGATTAAAGACCAGTTCCTCATTAGAGACCATAGAAACTACAGACAGAGGGGTGACGTATTTATGAGGGTAAAATGAAAAACTTTTAACCAAGAATTTGATATCTTGTAAAAGGTGCCCCTCAAATTTAAAGAGAGATTAGATTATAGATTTTAAAAAGCTAAGAGATTTTCATAAACTAGCCCCAAGGAACATGCTAATAGATATGAAGGGACATCCTAAAAAATGAGGGGATAGTAGATGATTAACTGAAGCTAGACAACAAAATAAAGATCACTGGTCAAGATAATTTTTATGAAAATATGTATCTAGTGTTATTTCTATTTTGGTACAGACTATTTTTTTGTTTTTGCTTCTTGTGTGATTTAAAGGCAAGTACACAAAACATATTTTTTTGTTAATTACACAAAATTATACTGCTGTACTTTTGATACTGACAAAGAAAATGAGACTAACGGAATTGAACAGGAGCAAAGTTCTTGTATGCCATCAAAGGTAAATTGATGTCAACTGAAAATAGATTGTCATACATTTGTAACATTAACTGTAATTGCCATGGAAAACATTAAGAAAATAACCAAAGGACACACAGAAAAAAAAGATGAAGTAATTATAAATGATATACTGAAATAAAATCAAATAAGGATCTCAGTACTAGAGAAACTGAGGAATAAAAGTATATAAGACATATAGAGAAAGGTTGCAAATGACAGAAGTAAATAGTTACTATCAATAATTACTTTAAATGAAAGCAACTTAAATTCACCAATTAAAAAAAAAAAGATTGAGGGACTGGGTTTGTGGCTCAGTGGTAGAGCACTTGCCTTGCATGTGTGGGGCACTGAGTTCAAACCTCAGCATCACATAAAAGTAAATAAAGGTATTGTGCCTATCTACAACTAAAAAATATTTTTTTTAAAAAAAAAGAAAGATTGATAGAATAGAAAAACAAAATGTAAGTCACTCAAGGGACTAACAAGAGTCTAAAAGAAACAAAAAGAAAGAAAGAAAAGGTATTTCATAGAAATAGTAGCCAAAACAGCGCTAGTAAGCTGTACTAATGCAAAATATATCATTTAAAAAGATGTATTAGAAGAGGTAAAGAGGGGCACTTTATATTGATAAAGTAGTCAGTTCAGAGAAATGATATAATAATTATACACATATTGAGTCTCTAAAAAATAGAGTCAAAACATATGAGATAAACATTGTCACAGTTGAAGACAAAGTAGAAAGTTCTGAATAATAGTTGGAAATCAAATCCCACTCTCAATAATAAATAGAACATCTTTACTAGAGATCAATAAATAAAATAGAAGACTTTAACAACACTCTAAAAAAAGACCCAGTACACATCTACAGAACACTGCACCCAGCAACAACAGAATGTGTACTTTTTTTTCAAAGGAATATAAGTATTTTTCAGGATAATTATACTAGATCATATTAATAATCATACTAGCCAAATTCTCCAAGGAAAATAGTGAATACTCAAATAAGTAAAATAAGAAATGAAAGGGGGATATTACTCATGACTTAAGAGAAATGAAAAGGATCTTAAGAGAATATACAATACTATAACCAATTATCAATCAATAAGTCATATGTTCTAGATAAAGTACACACACATTTCCTGATAAAGACAGTTGGTTCAGATTTCCATAACATGGTCTCACAAGTTTATTGTCTGAGAATAAATTTACTGGAGGCTAGAATTCCAATACATGGCATTGTCATGGTTACCTCTTTGTGAGGACTGTGAGAGGGGGTCCATGTCTTTCTTCTCTCCAAGGGATACTCTCAATTAGTTGTCACTCTGTCATTTTGCAGAATTCGGATGCATCACCCTGATCTCTGCTTTCACGTGCACATGATACTCTTTCTGCCTCTGTGTCCAGAATTTCTCTAAGTATTTCTGTCATACGGGATCAGAGACCACCCTAATGATCTTGTTTTAGTTTAAATACATTTTCAAAAACCCAATTTCAATAAGGAGACATCTTTCTGAGAAAAGTAAGAAATGCATGTTAAAGGGAGAAGCCTGGCGAGCTTGAAAGTGAGAAACCTTTGTGATAAAGCAAGGGATATACTTTCAGGGGAGAATGTGGGCCTTCTGTACAGGAAGAGACAGCCCATAATTAACTTTTAAATGTCTTTATATTAGCAGTTTGATTAGTCCTTTTGCTAGGAAAGAGTTGCGTAAGGACAATAGGCCATTTTTTTCACTTACCACTGTAACCTCCACAATGCAAGTCTTAGATACATCGTCCAATTGTACATACAAACAAGAAGTGGTCAGGACTCGTGTTTTTCTACCACGAGTGCCATCTCACTCCTAATTCTTCCCACTGGCTGCTCTGATTTTTATTCAATCACAACAAGATAGCAACAGTGACAGGTAGAGAACTGCAGGGAGCTGTGAATGAATCCTTGCATGAGACACCTCTCCTGAGAATGCTTTGGTGCTTGGGCACCTAGGGGAATGCACATTTGCAGATGACAACTGTTGATAGGGATAATTCCATGCTTTTCATGGAATTTGCTAGTTTGAAACCCTTGAATTCAAATCCCAGCTGCCTGGGATAGAAGAGACAGGTATAAACTTGTGAGCCCCCACCTAAGCTGTTTTACTTACTACTTCCTCCAGTTTACCTCAAGAAGTCTTTTCACAGTGAATCCCTTTGATGTTTAAAACCTATAAGATAAACACTTGAAGCCTTGCTCATTGCTAGAACTCACATACTGAGTTCTGCTTTCACTTATATTTAAGTCTTTGTCTTACTTTCTTATAATTTCTTAGTCCAACCCACTTCCTGCATTTGGAGAGCTGTTCATTCTCACTGCAGATTGAAGTGATAGGGAACACTCTTTGTATTTGTGAAATTGTTGGCCCTGGAATGGCCATGTCAGGTGTGAGGAAGTTTTAAATGTAACTGACTCAACATCATCTGCATCTTGGGAGTCAAAAAGCTGCTGGAGAGGATATGACATTGTTTTAAATACACATGCCACTCACTTAGAGACTTTTTCTAAAATAGATTGAGGCTGGTGAAATGAACCACTCATCCATCCCTTTACAGATAGTCCAATTTGCAGTAAAGTTTTGATCTGTGACTCCACCTATAACATGGTACAGTACACTGGTAGAAACCACTGTTCCAAATGTGGTATATCCAGTTCAGATCCCTTCCAGATATATTATCAAAAGCCTAGAGGTAATTTTTTTCTTTGCTGTTTGTTGTTACTGCCAGAGAATCTAATATATGCCCTCTGCTCTGCTTGTGATCTCTAACTGCACTGGCATGCCTGATAAATATGTGCATAAAGCCTGGGTCTCAATACCAATATCTTTGCCTTTTGGAATGCTTAATTCTGGAACCATTACAATTTGGCATGAATGAGTTCTTAATCATCTGATATAATAGGCATAGGCATTGAGCTAGATGAAAGCTTGCCAATAATCCAGGAGTCCTAATAAAAACATATAAATCCTTTAATGTAGGGTATATGGAATGTTTCCACTTTATCTCACAATGGCCAAGAATAAAATGAGTCTTAATTGTTCATACCACCCCTAGGAACAATACAAATGGTCCAAATCCCTGACCATCATTGTGATTGACAGTTCATTCCCAGGCTTAGGGGAGTGCATAGTCATTCTACTGTGTGCTATGAAAGTGTAAAACCTTCACCAAATAGCGTGTTTTTATCAATGTAATACATTTGGGGAATGGGAACAGAGTGATGTTCCAAGCCACCATAATAGATATAATGACAGTTCAAATATCCTCAAGGCAATATTCATTGTCTCTCCTCCTAAGTAAAGATGAACTTGTTCTGTGAATCCATCATCATTCTCTATAGTACTATCTAGCTTTTTCACTGGCCAGAAAGAGCTATTAAATGCGTTGTGGACAGGTCACAAAAGTCCAGCCTACCTCAGGAATTTATGGTCTTTCTAATCTCTGTATGTCCATGTGGCAGCTTGTACTTTTATTTACTACCTGGATCAGTCTTTCCTGCCTTACCAATGACTTCATCTACAACATACACATTTTCTTCAATAATCAGTCTGAGGAGGGAAAAACAGGACCAAATCATCCTTGAGGGGTTCTTTAGTCAGTATTTTTGTCACTGTGACCAAAAGACCTGACAAGAACAATCAGAGAAAGAAAAGTTTATTTTCTTTTGGCTCATGGTTTCAGAGGTCTCAGTTTGCAGATGGCTGACTTTATGCCTCTGGGCCCAAGGCAAAGCAGAATAGCATGGCTGAATGAAAGCAGCTCAGGGCATGACAACCAGGAAGCATGGTCAACTTTATTTGCAAGACTATATATTTTGTTTTCTTTGCTTGAGAAAAAATGTTTAACATCTCTAGCAATTAGAGAAATGGAAATTAAGACTACTCTAAGATTTCATCTCCCTCCAGTCAGAATGGCAATTATCAAGAATTAAAGCAACAATAAATGTTGGCAAGGATGTGGAAAAAAAGGAAACATATACATTGCTGTTGGGAGTGCAATTGGGGCAACCACTCTGGAAAGCTGTATGGAGATTCCTCAGAAAACTTGGAATGGGACCACCATTTTACCCACTTATACCACTTCTCAGCATATACCCAAAAGACTTAAAATTAGCAAACTACAGTGATACAGCCACACCAATGTTTATAGCAGCTCAATTCACAATAGCTAAACCATGGAACCAGCCCAGGTGCCCTTCAACAGATGAATAGAGAAAATGTGGTTTTTATAAAGGGAATGTTATTCAGGCTTAAAGAAGAATAAAATTATGGTATTTTTCTTAAATGGATGGAGCTGAAAAATATCTTGCCAAGCAAAATAAGCCAATTTCAATAAAATAAAAGCCAAATATTTTCTCTGATACACAGATGCTAATTCTCAATGAAATGGAAGGGCTGGGGAAGATTAGAGATACTTTGGATTAAACAGTGGGGAGAGAGTGGAGTGGGTGTGGGGGTAGGAAAGATGGTAGAATGAATTTGACATTATTGCCCTATTTTCATTTATGATTATACAACTTCTGTAATTCTACATCATGTACCAGAAGAATGAGATATTATATTCTATGTATGAAGTGTCAAAATGCATTCTACTGGGCTGGAGTTGTGGCTCAGTGAGAGAGTGCTTGCCAAGCACATGGCAGGCATTGGGTTTGATTCTCAGCACCACATAAAAATAAATAAATAAATAAATAGAAAGAAAGAAAGAAAAGTTATTGTGTCCACCTACAACTAAAAAAGGGGAAAAAATTGCATTCTACTGTCAGGTACAACTAATTTGAACAATTCTAAAAAGGAAAAAAATATATATATAAATGTTAAATTGCATTTTCTGTACATAAATGAAATACTAGAGTAACCAAAATATAATTTTTAGATATTTCAAACTTATCTTCCATGCAATTTGTTATTACTTATTGAATTATACAATATTTGGTTAAATAACAAATTACACATGTATGATAAATTATTTCTGTGTTCTTAAAACAGAATGACTCCAGGTGTGGTGGCATACGCCTATAATCCCAGAGGCTCTGGAGGCTGAGATATGAGGATCATGAGTTCAAAGCCAGATTCAGTAAAAACCAGGCACTAAGCAACTCAATGAGACCCTGTCTCTAAATAAAATACAAAATAGGGCTGGGGACGTGGCTCAGTGGTCAAGTGCCCATGAGTTCAATCTCTAGTACCTAAAAAAAAAAAAAACAAAAACCAACAACAACAAAAAGAAAAACAGAAAAACAGGATGACTAACAATAGCTTATGGAAAATATACATGGAGCATTGAAAGTTAAAGAAACTTAGAATGAGACAAAGCAACAAATCAATAATTTTTTACATAATATTATCCTTGAATGATTGATTATAAGTACTCTTATACTTTCAATATAACATGTTTAATTGACTCATTTCCTTTGATCTTCAGGGAAAGTTTTATAACTAAAAGTTTTTTGTCTACACTGGGAACTAAATTCTGAAATTATAGTCTTTCAATTTGATAGGACTAAGAAGAAATGGGAGAAATTGAGGGGAACAACATATTTTTCCATAAAAGTATTATTTTATGAATACATTAATGAAAATATCTTCTGAAATATTTGAGAAATTTCATGATTATGTTTTTATGAGATAATATTTTCAAAATAATAAAAATAATGTTTATTTATATCATTTTTCACCAAATTTTTCATATAACTTAATCATTTGCTTTCTATGGTTGAGTTATTCAGTAGCAACATTAATGGCAAGCTAAGTTGAAAATTATTTTATACTCCATCATAAGAAATAAATGAAAACTACTCAACTATAACTCAATTGTTAGGTGAAATAACCTGAGAGAAATGGTTATTCAACTAATGGACCATTGAGCAAATTAGTACAAATTGACCATTTACAACTCACTGGTAAGAATGAACTTGGATCAATGAAACCTGTCCTCAAAATACTATAAAAATAATCTCTTAACACTTAAATGACAAAGAATTAATAGGGATAAAAAGGAGTCCCACAGGATAAGACAGCCAGTAAAAAAGACATAGCTTTTATAAACTTGCATTAACTTAAAACAAAGACTTGGGATATATAAACCACATCCCACAAATTGGAGGAACTACAAAAATATAGTGATAGAATATAAAAAGTATCAATAGCAAAC